TCAGTTACTCTCTTTCATTCTCCTCTTCTCAGTCTTCCATGAGAGAGAGATTTTGGCCCCCCCTCTCCACAGGGTCTGTTCCCCTATGCCATGGACTTCAGCTCTGTCTTCTTGGTCCCCCCGTTCCTGCCAATGTTGCTATAGCTGCCACTGCCCCCCCCCCCGATTTCCAGTACACCAAGGATCTTGTTTGGTCTGAGGGATTCTGAAACACCGAGCCCGCAAAGAATAGTGGCAGAGGGCAAGGAATGCCACACTTTATCAGAAATTTGAGGCTCTAATGCTTCCATCTGTTTATTAATCTGCAAATTGGGAATAATAAAACATACTCCCTACCTCCCAGGCATATTCTGATGAAAACCCTTTCTGAACTTTAAAGCACATTAGAAACATGATCTGTTAATATTATTATTAGCTTTCCCAAGGACTCAAGCGGTGTTCAAGCAGTCTGTAATGACAAGTACTAAATCACTCTCTTATGACAAATATTTTATTTGTCTTTGGGTTATGGCTGTTGAATGTTCACTAAATTATTAGGTCCCAGGAGAATTAAGTTCCACTCAGTATGCATTGGTGAAATGCCTACTATGTGCCAGGCACTGTGTTAGGTGCTGAAGACAGAGATAATAATGAAACAATCATTACCCTCATAGAACTTACATTCTACTGAGATTGATCCAGAGATGGAGACCACAGACCAAGCTCTAACCCTGGTCACAAAATGAGCCCTGACCTTAGCCATACACGATGTATTCAATGTTCCCATTCAAAGGCCTGCTGGACATATCCATGGGTTGGGAATGAAGCTATTCAGGCTCTAGTCTGCCATTAATTTACTATGTCACTTTGGGTCAGGCACCAACCCTCCTTTGGCCTCAGTTTCCTGAAAGAGTATCAGGATTAGAGTCAAGAGAGACCAAAGTTTGAATCCCACCTGTCACTGATGGGTTGTGTGACCACAGACTTAACCTCATTGGGATTCGATTTCCCCCCCTACAAAATGAAAATAATAAAATCTCTAGTACCTAATGCACCAGGTTGTGATCAAAATCAAGTGAAATAACTTATGTCTTTTGCAAACCTCGAAGCACTATATGAATGTCAGTTGTTTATAACTCAGAGATGGGTACTTGGAAGCAAAGCGTAGTATAGGTGAAAGTTACTGCTCTTCTGGAGGGGATAAATGAATAAGGAGCTTGATCTGGAGGGCTTCTTGGAGGAGGTGATTTTTGGCACACTTACTGAGGGACAGCAAAGCCAGCAACCTGAACTCCCGGGGAAAGATCCCAGAGTCCCAGCTCCAGGCACTCCTGTCTGAGTCTGAGACCATGTAGCCACTTCCTCTCTTACCTCTAGTCACCCAGGAGGACAAAGGGAACCGAGGTCTGCTGTTTCTGAAGAGGGTACGTACAAGGCTCAGGAGATTCATTTAAAGGTCTAATCTCAGAGCTCTCTTAATTAATCGTGACAAGCCCTTCTCTCTCCCACTTCTTGCCTAATTGCTGGTGAAAAGCTTTTGTTTTAATTATATTTTTAATTCGCTCCTAATCAAACCCTGACTGGCGGCTCTGGTTTTCGTGGTATGCGTTTGGGGGCCTGCCTAAGTGTGTGTGGGAGGGGCAGAGAGGGAAGATGAGGGGGCTGATGCAGCTCCCAACACATTGTTCCTCTCTCACTGGACCTCGTCCAGTAATCCAATTTAAATCCCCTCTCTCAGGTCTGGAATTCTAATTGGGGGATTGCAAAAGGGGAGTTTGACAATACAGCCACACTGGGATGGAAGTTTATTGTCTCATCTAATCAGAGACAATCAGATGTTTATAATGAGTCTATCAAAAAGATGCGAGGGCCATTTATGGGCACACGAGGCACCCCAGAGGCTAACGAGGCTTAGGGTGCTGTACATTTTCATGCAGATGATGTTGGGTCTGTGGGCCGGTCCTCCTTCAGCGCCTATGTGATCCTGTAAACTTTCATTCTTCTCTTAAAGTC